GAAATAAAATGAACTTTTTTGATTTTAGCAAATGGCTGCAATGAAACGGAGTGAAAAATTTAAAGGGGTCCGAATACTTTCCGTACCCACCACACACACACACATATATATATACATATATATACACACACGATTAAAATAACTAATGTAATAGATATATACACATGAACTCATCAGAGACAAACTGTTTAGATTGTAAAACCCTCTTGAGGTAAATATATAATGATCTCACCACCACCCTGAAATATATACATACACCCTGAAGCATCCACATCCTTCTGACCCGTCAGTGTGAGAGAATTTATTCGATGTTAATTAATTGAGACGACAGGAAATGCAAGAAGACACTTTATTTTCAACACAACTTACATTCTGAAGGAAAAACATGACGATACAAAAGAGACTATTATAAAAAACTAAACAAACAGCTGATTTGACACTATTTATTTACATCAGGTTCCAGCTGAGAGTCTCTGATTGGTCGAAGTCGTCACGTGACCTGAAGAATCATCGAGTGACGAGTCTCCGTTTGGTCGTCTGCTCCACCAGTTTGTGATAATTGTCCAGTTTGTCTCGAACTTTATTATAAATCTGAAAACAGATCCACACATTCATCACACTGAAGATCACAAACAAGACGTCAACAAGAAGTGATGACTCACGCTGCTGTTGGTCTGCGTCTCGTTCAGCGTCTGCAGCAGCTGATCGATGGACGTGTACGGCAGCCAGACGGAGGACGACGTCGCCGACAGAGGTCTCTGAAACATTCAGACAGTTCAGTGATTCTGTTCAATGTTTAAAGATTCATAACTTACTACTTAAAGTATTTTACCTCGATTCCAAAGTACTGGTGTCCTCTCCCCAGCAGAGCGTCTACGTACTCCAACACCAGCTCAGCTGCAGCCTCCAGGAGATCAAAGTTAAGGTAGAGACGCAGCAGAGACGCAGCGTCCACTTTCTGTAAGAAACACAGCTGCATCGTGGGAAAATAACCACTAAGAAACACAGCTGCATCGTGGGAAAATAACCACTAAGAAACACAGCTGCATTGTGGGAAAATAACCACTAAGAAACACAGCTGCATTGTCGGGAAAGTAAAGCATCCCTATTGGCTGAAGTCTCACCTTGTAGGACTTGATGAGCCAATCAGGCAGTGGGACACCGTGTGACAGCAGCTTGTTGATGACACAGCGGTGATGCTGTCCGTTAGCAGAAGGATACCTGTCCAGGTAAGAGGACAGCAGCTGCCACGCCTCGTCTGTAGCACTACCACAGAAGAAGAAACAAAGAATATGTATTTTAAACTGTAATAAATGAACGAAGCTCTTTATTTGTGATATTTGAACAATAACAGAAGTGAAACCTGGACTCTTTGGTGTTGACGACAGAGGACAGCTGATTAGCAGCCAACCAGCTCCAGGCTTCGTTCTGAGACTCCTCCCCCCCAAACTGAAGCTTAATGCACCTGAACACAAACAAAAAAACACATTTATTCATGTTTCACTTTATTCAATCTTTTAAGGTTCCTTTTTTATGCACATTTTAAAGCTGCATTCTCTCTAGTGTCCACCAGGGGGCGGCGACTCTGGTTGTATAGAAGTCTATGAGAAAATGACTACTTCTCTCTTGATTTATTACCTCAGTAAACATGAGTTTATGGTCTCCATGCTGTATTGAAGAAGACTTGAAACTAGAGATTATGTTCATTTAGTAACTTATGGTCCATTTAGAGTCAAACAGACCATAAAGCAGGGTATGCTTTAGGGCGGGGCTACACAGTGATTGACAGATCTCTAACAGACCATAAAGAAGGGTATGCTTTATCGTCTCTAACAGACCATAAAGCAGGGGATGCTTTAGGGCAGGGCTACACAGTGATTGACAGATCTCTAACAGACCATAAAGCAGGGTATGCTTTAGGGGCGGGGCTACACAGTGATTGACAGGTCTCTAATAGACCATAAAGCAGGGTATGCTTTAGGGGCGGGGCTACACAGTGATTGACAGGTCTCCAACAGACCATAAAGCAGGGGATGCTTTAGGGCGGGGCTACACAGTGATTGACAGGTCTCTAATAGACCATAAAGCAGGGTATGCTTTAGGGGCAATATCAACATTGTCTGTTAATTGCATGATAATCATGCACACAAGATATTCTCACTGATGTTTTCATTTTAAACATAAATGTGGAAACTGAGTGATGGCCTATTAGTGCCACTGCCATATACCGAATTATTAAAATAATGGACACATTCATGTTTAGAGATTCAAAAAAACTAACTTTTTATTTTATTTTATTTTTTTAAATTGTCTAATCAACCAAAGATTTTGCGGACCCCATGCAGGACCCCCTGTTGAAGACCTCTGCTTTAGGGCATAATAGACCATAAAACAAGAAAAAGTTTTTCCGCTGGACTGAGGTGAAGTTTGTGAATGTGAGACGCAAACAGATTTAATTATAAATGTAAAAGTCTAACGGATGAACACAAGAAACTATGAAACTGAAATGTCTCACCGCCTCGTTAATAAAGCTGAGTGATGTTTTTGAACACCCACTCACATTAAAATAAAACTCTTTGACCTAAAGGCTTGAAAACAGCTTCTTTCACCATTTAATCTGTTAATTCTTCTGCATCTTTGTTTAATGATCTTCTGCTCTCAAAAGGTCCAATTTGGAAATATTTTCTATTTTAAAAGTTTAAAAGAAACTTTAAATTCATGACCCAGTCGATGAATACAATTTGATAATGATTGATTTAAGTGGGAGTGACTTCATATTCCAAACTTAGCCTCAATCTCTTCAGCACATCCACTAATCGTCTTTAACTGTCATTTAGATGATGTAACAATGTGCCTAATGTAAACAAAGGATGATGTCATAATGAAGGACTGATCTAAAACACAGGATGATGTAATGAAGTAGAAACTCACTTGAAGGTCATACCCTCGAAGACTGAAGTGAGGTTCAGTTTGAAGGTTTGACAGACGGACAGAGCCGAGTCAAACAGTCCGGTTTGGACCAACAGGGCCACCATCTCTACTGCTGAGGCACTTCCTACAGACAGACAGGTAGACAGACAGACATGATGATGATATATATATTAGTGGTGGGCAACGATTACAATTTTTAAATCGCATGATTTTTTTAAAGATTAATCTTATTGTTTTGCAAATTCAATAATGAATTCAAAAGTAGTGTATTGTGCACTTTTATTTTAAAGTGCTGCTATATGAACAACAGGTCAATAACATTTGGTTTAAACACATCAGGTTGTTGTTAGCAGCAGTATTCCCTTTACACAGCAGCAGTTATAACACAGTTATAATGATTCTGATCATAGATATTCAGCCGGTGTTCACAACTTTATCTTCATGTGTGTAAGAGATGATATTTAAATATACTTCTTGAAAACTACAAAACTATCTACGTCATGTTTTTATGTTTGTTAAATTCTCAGTAGCGATAACTAAATGATGCTTATTATACATATTACACACAAAACACTTTAAAAACTCAAACAATAATTTAAATTAATCATTTCTTTTCTTGGTATGTTGGTCAGAAACATATGCAACGCTGATTACCGTAATATGTGTGGTATTTGTTATAAATGTACGTTGGTACATAGAGGGTGATAAGAAGCTGTACATGGAGGGACTTAGGACCCATGGGAGTGTAGGTGAAGGAAACAGGAAGAGACGCCACACAAACGGCTGTTCACCGCTCGCTGCCGGTTCTTGTTAAAAATGTCGCTTAATAAAAAAAAAAAAAAAACTGCGTTAACGCACGATAAAATAATTGTCGACGTTAATTAATTAATGCGTTATTATCGCGCTAACTTGCCCAGCACCAATTTATTTATATATATACAGTGGGTACGGAAAGTATTCAGACCCCTTTAAATTTTTCACTCTTTGTTTCATTGCAGCCATTTGCTGACACAAATTTAAATATTAGACAAAGATAACACAAGTAAACACAAAATGCAGTTTTTAAATGAAGGTTTTTATTATTTAAGGGGACAAAAAAATCCAAACCTACATGGCCCTGTGTCAAAAAGTGATTGCCTCCCCCCCCCCCCCCCCTGTTAAAACATAAATTAACTGGTTTATCACATCTTTGGAAAGCTGAGTTCAATTTCTCTAGCCACACCCAGGCCTGATTACTGCCACACCTGTTCTCAATCAAGAAATCACTTAAATAGGACCTGCCTGACAAAGTGAGGTAGACCAAAAGATCCTCAAAAGCTAGACATCATGCTGCGATCCAAAGAAATTCAGGAACAAATGAGAAACAAAGTAATTGAGATCTATCAGTCTGGAAAAGGTTACAAAGCCATTTCTAAAGCTTTGAGACTCCAGCGAACCACAGTGAGAGCCATTATCCACAAATGGCGAAAACATAGAACAGTGGTGAGCCTTCCCAGGAGTGGCCGGCCGACCAAAATTACC